TAATTTTTATTAATGTAGAAAAAAAATCCTAATACAAATGCAAAACTTTCTGGCATACATGTATTTGGTCTTAATGCCACAGATGTAGAGCAAGAATGTGAAAGAAAAAATGAACGATCCAATTCTTTTAAACCATTTAACACATTAAGCGAATCTATGAAGACAAAACGTTCTTGTAGATTTTTTATACAAATCAGTGAAGCATTTGAAAATGAAATTCCCAAATTTTACAACTCATTTGATCAACCAGTTTTACAAGAAGTCCGGTTCCATATTCAAAATAAAAATTATTTAGCTTATTATCAGAACAAAGATCAAGAAAAAGAAAATCATTCTTTAGATGCATTTTTAAAAGTTATCGACCAAGGTCCAATTTCTCGAAATGCTTACTGAAACCTAGCTGCACTCCAACCAGAGTTAGAAAAGTGTTAGTTTTGCTATAATAATATCTAGATCTGCTATAAAAATAGATACAGAAGGCTCTAGAGAGTTTATTTTAAAGATAAATTAGTTCTAAGTTTGAGATGATGATCTGAGCATCTAAATATGACCCAATAAGTTAACACAGATTATAGGTTCAGAGGGTTTAAAGTAAAACATCTAAGCAGGAATATTAAATATAGCAATTAGTAGAAAACCTTCAAGTAGACTTTTTAAATAAGTAATATAAAAAAATTTTATATGTAGGCAATTCTATTCTCTTTTGTAATAGTTTATAAAATCATATTACCAATAAGTTATTAATAAAAATCAAAAGATCAAAGAGATCACCTTAATATTAAAAAAAAAAGTAATAAATAATCAAAAAAAGTCTTAGTTTAAAATTCTGATTCTAAATTTTTACTTTAAAAAAGCTAACAATATTACAAAAAGAGATAATAAATTGTTTAAACTTAATTATTAGTAATAATATTTTGTGTATTGTTTTTTTGCTTTGTTTTTTTTTACTTTGTATTATGGAGATTTGTTTTAAATTATATTATTTTTTGTTTTTTTTCTTTATATTATTTTTTTTCTTTGTATTGTATTTTTTTTTAATATTTAATATATTAGTTTTAATATTAAATATATGTATCTAATAAAGATTATATTTTAATAAAACTGGTTATTACTTTAAATATTTTAAAAACATATACGCGCATTTTTGGAATTAGTATATTATTTTGACACACCCTAAAATTTAAATTGTAAAACATGCAAGGAGCGTCAGCTAGTTGACGCAAATGTCTGTAATTAGTGGTTGGCTAAAGCAAAGTGAGTTTTATAGTTACCTTTTTGATGCAGTTAGTGTTAGTGGGTTATATAGAATATCAAGAATGTAATTTATGCAGTGTGTAGATCATATATTGAATTAACTCTGCTTTAGTCGACCTCTGTAATTAATATTTCTTTCAATACAGCAATAGACCAATAATCTTTCAGACCTTTAATAGTTTCTATTTCATGTACTGTATTTTCTCAGTACTCCACACTATTATATTAAGAGAGGTACATTTAGAGAAGTCTGATTGTATATACTGAACATTCAAAACTTACACCATTATTGGAATGCTATACTTAGTTTTTACATTGCGACTATGTAAATTTGCCTGTTTAAAGATATAAAGGTAGTGATTATTTAAAGTTACATTTGTACTAAAACATGCGTTATTCTCTAGTTAGCCATGATACTATTAGTATTAGTTTTTTTGGTTTATATGCAGTAATAAACTAATTATCAGAACTATATGATTTATAGGGATGGTAAAAAATCAACAATTTAAATCAATCACTTTATTACATATTATATTTAGAAAAGTAAATATTGGATATCCAAATAATGTAGATATAACAGTCATTTAAACCTTAATTATATATCATTAAATGTATTTTGTATATTTATACAAAGTGAAATGTATATAATTTATAAAGCATGAAAATTTAATATAATTTCCAAGCTTATCCAGACAAATATTTACCATTTTGGTATACATGTTAATATATCATTAGTAATTGATCTAAATGATATGCCCATATAATAAATGAACCTTAACAATTAAAAAATTCCAATAATTTGATAAGG